CATTTTCTTCCACGTCGGTCACTCCAGTACATTGTTACTTTACTGTGTAGATTAGGGACCTGGCCCTCCAGTATTTTCCATGTGTATATTATTTGGTATTTCTCTCGTCTCCTTTCTAGTGAATACATTTGGAGAGATTTGAGACGATCCCAATAATGTAGGTGCTTTATTGCGTCTATGCGTGCTGTATATGTTCTTTGTATTCCCTCTATTTCAGCAATCTCTCCTGCTCTGAAGAGGGAAGTGAGTACTGAGCAGTACTCGAGACAGGACAGCACAAGTGACTTGAAGAGTACAACCATTGTGACGGGATCCCTGGATTTGAAAGTTCTCGTAATCCATCCTATCATTTTTCTGGCTGACGTAATATTTGCTTGGTTATGCTCCCTAAACGTTAGATCGTCGGACATCATTATTTCCAAATCCTTGACATGCTGTTTTCCTACTATGGGCAGATTTGATTGTGTTTTGTACCCTGTATTATGTTTCAGATCCTCATTTTTACCATACCTGAGTACCTGGAATTTATCACTGGTTAACATCCTGTTATTTTCTGCTGCCCAATCGAAAACTTTGTTGATATCTACTTGTAATTTTTCAATATCTTCAGCAGAGGTAATTTTCATGCTGATTTTTGTGTCATCTGCAAAGAATGACACGAAGCTGTGACTTGTATTTTTGTCTATATCTGATATGAGAATAAGGAACAGCAGTGGTGCAAAGACTGTACCTTGAGGAACAGAGCTTTTAACTGCACTTGGACTCAATTTTATTTGATTGACTGTTACTCTTTGTGTTGTGTTCATCAGGAAATTGAGTATCCAGCGTCCTACTTTACCAGTTATTCCCATTGACCTCATTTTGTGTGCTATCACTCCATGGTCACATTAGTCGAATACCTTTGCACAGTCTGTGTATACAACATCTGCATTATGCTTTTGTTCTAGAGCTTGTGATTTTGTCATAGTTGTTGAGTAACTGTGACAGAGAGGATCTGCCCCGCTCTAAATCCATGTTGTCCTGGGTTGTGTAGCTCATTATTTTCCATAAAACTAGAAATTTGATTCCTAATTACTCTTTCAGAAACTTTATTATGTGTGATGTTAGTGCAACTGGTCTATAATTTTTTGCCAAGGCTTTACTACCATCCTTGTGCAGAGGAGCTATGTCTGCAGATTTAAGTGCTGCTGGTATCTCCCCTGTATCCAGGCTTTTTCTCCATATTACGCTGAGTGCCTGCGCTACTGGTACTTTACATTTCGTTATGAATATTAAATTCCATGAGTTAGGCCCAGGAGCTGAGTGCATGGGCATATTGTCAATTTCTCTTTCAGTCTTCCAAGTTTGTGTTAATATCCGTTATATTATCTGCAGCTTGAATGTCATTCATAAAGAAGCTGTCTGGGTCATCAACTTTCATGTTTATTGGTGTGCTAAACATAACCTCATGCTGGCTTCTTAGAATTTCACTAATTTCTTTGTTGTCCTCTGTGTACGTACCTTCATTTGTAATTAATGGTCCAATACTGGTCGAGGTTTTTTATTTTGATTTTGCATATGTGAAAAAATATTTTGGATTTTTCTTTATCTCTTGTATAGCTTTCTGTTCAAATTCCATTTCCTCAGACTCGTATGATCGCTTCAACGTTTGTTCTATTTCTTCAATCCCCCTGTTTAGGTTTATTTTCCTTTCTTGTGATAGTCGTGTCTACCTAAGCATATCCGTTATTTTTTTCCTTCTCCTGTACAGTCGTCTGCGTTCTCTTTCTAGAGTGGTCCTCTTTCTGCCCCTCCTCACAGGCACGTGCTTCAGGCAGACCTTGTATGCTTCAGCTGTCAGTTGAGCTATTCCCTGTGTGGGAGTTTTGTCGCTTAAGACCGTCTCCCATTGAATGGTTGCAAAGTCTACATTTATTTTTTCACTAGTCGATCCTCTCATTATTGAAATTGAATTGACTGAATACTCCTTCTTGCTTGTTGGGTCTCTTAGACCTACTACCGTTATTTATGCTAGTTCACACTTCAATGACTTTATGGTCTGAGTATGTAGTATCTTAGATTGTAATGTCTCTAATTAGTTCATCATTGTTTGTGAATAACAAGTCTAGTGTGTTTTCTTTTCTAGTTGGTTCTGTAATCTGTTGATTGAACGAGAATTTGTCACAGAATCTCAAAAGGTTTCTGACCTGTGGTTGGTTATTTCCCAGGTCATTCCCTGCAATGATATTTGTGTTTGAAATTCTCCATCTTAGACTTGGTAAACTGAAATCTCCAAAGAAGATAATATCTGGAGCTGGGTTTGCTAGATTATCAAGGATGTTCTCTATTTTGTGCATCTGCTCTGTGAATTCCTCAACCGTAGTATCTCGAGGTTTATATATTAGAATAATAATTAGGTTTAATTTTTCTACCTTAATTCTAAGTACCTCTACCACCTCATTAGTTGAGTTTATAGCTCTGTGCATACCAGGTCCTCTTTAATAGCCAGACTTACTCCTCCATTTGACCTAGTTTCTCAATCACATCTATATAAATTAAAATTTGGAATCCAGATTTCACTATCCATGTAATCTTCCGCATGAGTTTCCATGAATGCCCCAAATATTGAGTTTGACTCTAATAGGAGGCCATTTATGAACTTAACTTTATTTCTTGATTTTGACTTTAGGCCTTGTATGTTTGCAAATATGAATGATTGTCCATATTGTGTCTCACTTCTGGAAGGTTTTGGTAGTTCTCCCTCCTCTCTACCCTGACCCAGGGGTGTGCTGATCTGGCAATGGTTTGTCCAGTTTTGGAGTTGGTACTGGAGAGTATGGTAGTCTCTGTGTAGTTGGGGGTGTAGAATGTGTGGGCTTAATGACGAATCGTAGTCCAGTCTTGGGCATTTCCCCCCTCTTCATCCGTACTCCTGCAACATTTCTGCCTGTATAGCTCAGCTGTATATATGTATAGCCCAGTATAGCTCTGGGGAGCCGGAGGGGCTCTCCACAGAAAAATTGTTGGACATTGATGGAACTAACAGATATTGGCACTGGGCATTGATAGAACTAACAGATATTAGCATCAGACGATGTATTTATATGATATATAACAAAATATAGCATAATAACATACTCATTATTATTTGTGTTATTATGTATTACTTAGAAATGCTAAAAAGGCACCAGCTGCATATTCACTTTGTGGACCCTCCTTATTGTCCACAATACTTATGGAGGATCCACTTTGTGGACCCTCAATTAATAGCTGTTCTCCTTATCATCAGAACTTTTTTTTTTTTAATAGCTGTATACAATTAAAATCCATTTCTTAGCATATTGGGATGAAATTTTCATAATGCTGTTGCCAAATAATTAGAGATTTGTATAACATTTTCAAGTAATTTTCATATTATTCAAATATTTTTTGAGTTTCTAGCCCCTTAACCCTTTGACTGCTAACTGTTAATAGCTGACATACCCCCCATGTGCTCAAGAAAAAAAAATTCTGAAAAAATTATTTGTTCTTAAGACATTGTTAATTCGCTTGTTAATTGTAGTTTAACTATAGCAGCCTGGAGAAGTTGCATATTTTTAGATAAAATGAGTTGAAGTGCCACATGGGAATAACTTTGTTATTTATTTTCATTGTTTCTCACTTTATTTATTTAGGTTTTCATGCTAACAAGTTGTATTTGTGTGTCAAAGGTACTGTCTATTATGCATAACTTTGAAAATATAAGTATGTGTGGATATACTAGTATACTGTCGATATACAGACACCCACATACTTATTCATAATAATATATGTATTGTATACATATATTATAAGCCTAAATCTTAAAATTACATATAGCACACATTTTGCCTCAAATATATACATGGTAATCACTCATTTGCTGTTGCTAAAAGTTTATCGTGTTTCCTCTATGGCTGCCCTAAACGTTCAGACACTGGATGGTGATGTTGTCAAGCAATGGTTATCATTTTCTTACTTAGGCCCTAGAAGGAAAGTGAGGGACTCAGGATTTTTTTTCAAGATGGGGAGAGGGTTACTTGAGCCCTGAGGAAGCTGATGTGAACCCTGTGTAGTCATGGGACTTTTAAATCTTGCACGGTATACCCACACATCATATAATGTGGTGCACAATTTTGCAGCAGTTACTCATCACATCATATGATGTGTTGCACAGTTTAACCACTGCACTGCGCCAAACTACAAATGCTGGTTTGAGAGTTGTCCATTTTTTTTAATTAGGCTATATTTTAATGTTTTTTTAATGTTTTCATCACTCTTTGTGTTTCAAAATGAAACCAGTTGAGTTTGGAAACATTTTGACATTAACTTTACCTGAACATTTATAAAAACAACAAAAATATGTCCTTAACAATTGCGCTATGAAGTTTTTGCCAAAATCAGGTGCGCAGTGCAGGGGGTTATGGGTTAACCAGAGAAAACAGTGATTCAAAGATTAATAAATGCACCATATAACTTTTAACTTATAAACTGTGACAAAATTAATGTTCAATCCTTCATGGCTTTATTTTCACTTTTTTTAAGTATAAGTGGTAAACAAATCCACAAGAGCTGTGATGAGGGTTCGAACCTACATCCGAGAGGATCGACATAAGTTCGATCCCTCATCACGGCCCTCGTGGATTTGTTCATTTGATGCATCACGCTATTGAGATTTCTGTGTGTAATATAGATGGTAACCTCATTACTTTTGAGACACCCAAAACAGCCTTCAGAATTCTTCAGTAATACTGTGTTTCACAGGATGGTGTTAGTGTCAATATTTGAGAGCAGAAGAATGGTTTGCCAAAGAATTATTTGAAAAATGTGCATGCAGTACACAGCTTTGAAAACAGAGTGCTGTACTTAAAACACTCATATATATATAGAAAAAGCTTGAATGTGATTTAATCTGCTAATTTTGATTTTCAAATGTGATGTTTAAGGGATAATCAAAGCATAAATAACTTTAGTGAAGTTAATCATATAAAATCCCAACCTACCTTCCCACAATGAGTTGCTCCCTTTGTTTGGCTTTTGGTCGACAAATTGCCCAAATGTCTATTGTGAAGAGAGTCGAAGCAGAGTTGAAGATAGATGTGAGGTCACTCATAAGTGCCGACAGCATAACTGACAGCATGACACCTCTCATGCCACTTGGCATATATTCCAACACTAGTTTAGGATAAGCCGAGTTGGTGCACGATACTCTTGAACCGCAGAACTTGTAACACTCCTCCGGAACAATACAACCCACTTCACTGGGGAACAGAACACGTGACACCATTCCTAGTCATGATAAAAAATTATAACAATTATAACAATTATAAACAATAGTGAAAATTAAATACAGTAAGTAAGAATAGCTGTCAATCACAACGCACCATCAATTAGCTTGAGGACCTGTCCAAAATGCTATGCATGTTAAGGGCTTTGCAAGAATGTAACACTTGATCACCAATTGATGTACAGAATTCACTCAATTTAACAGCCTATATGGAGCTGTACCCAGGACGTTAAATGCGGGACTCCAGTATTTCCAAAGTTGTTGAGGTGTCCGTAATATTTCAAGTAACATTCAGGTAAGATATATTTTATATAACTAAAATGAAATAAAGTTTATTGTGTAATTGTGTTCCAAGTTAGTGCCACACTGACGATTAAGCCAGCTGTTGGCTGCTGCATGGTTGATGTGTGAACACTGATCAAGTCCAGATAGGAGGAAAAAAATTGGTTCATCCCTTTGTATTGCGAAATATTTCATGTCTATCAACGATTGTTAATGTTTTCTCAATAAATTTTTTGCGATCTGTTTTGTTTTACCCTGTACAGTACAGGTAATGTATTTTTAATGTTATGACAGAGGCTGTGGCAGCCAGGCCATACAATGGAGATCAACCCTTGTCACTAACCAAGCCAAGACAAAATCTTTTGAATTCACCTTTTCTCTGCTAATGATAGAATATACATTTGCAGAGACTAATTAATATGTAGCAATTGTTAAAAAACAATCAATATGTTGTAATACTATTATAAAATTGATAACCTGACTTACTTTTTATGAAGCTGAAGATTACAAAGCTGTGAAGATTACGTTATCCTCTACAGTGCTTATTTCTTATTGTTCAGTATACATACAGTATGTACACTTATTTTCAGGCATTCACTTCACATAACAGCTAAACCTACTACTAATTTGCATGAGAGTAATGCACTGCACTAATAAAAAAAAATGCTGACTAACAGCAGTAACGCACTTGTACAATTGAAACTTATATCTATATTTACACTGTGTACAGTATATCTTTTTATCAAGACTTAATTATTCATTAACACTTACAATACTGTACTCTATCAACACTTTTTGCACTAATTTATATGCATTTCAATCATATTTTATATCCTCATTAGCAGATGCTGCACGACTTGTTGATGGGAATTCAGACTTGGCGGGTGCAGGATGGCTTGTAGGGCACTCGTTGCTAGTGAATGCTGCACATCTTTTTGAAATTCCAGAGAGTGCAGCATGGCTTGTAGACCAAGATTTTTCACACTGTTGAAATCATGAATTTATCCACCTTTGTCTGCATTTGATTATCTCTGGCTAACGTTCTGAGACATTGCTTAACAGCTGTAAAGTGTACATAAAAATTTCCAACAACAACCTCATGTTTACTTTTTCTTGAATATTCAATGAGGTCGTGCAGAGAGCCACCACCAGGCATGATGCACCCCCTAACCGAACACACCAAGCATTAGTAACCAACAGACCTCTCTGGAAGTTAACTGACTCGCTCTTTGCCAGAAAAGGAGCTGGCTGGAAATTAACAAATTGCCCACCAGGGTGTAAAAAAACAAAAACAACTTCAAGAGGAAAGCATGAAGCTTCCCCCACCCAGCAACCTGAGAAAGGGAGGAAAGCATGAAGCTTCCCCCACCCTGCAACCTGAGAAAGGGAGGAAAGCATGAAGCTTCCCCCACCCTGCAACCTGAGAAAGGGCAACCAAACACAAGCACTTAAGAAAGCAATCATGGACCAAACGGGACATCATAAACCAAGCCGAAGAAAGAAACAAAATGACGCTGTCATGAGACGAAGCAGGCTCAGGTGGCACATGAGCAGACTGGAAGTGAAACAATACCTGAGACAGCTTGCAAAACAGAGCTGCGGTAGTAGTAACCCTGAATGCTAGCTGCAACAGCTCCACCAGTGATGAATGATCTGAAGCAACTTTATTCAGCGTGAGATGCCAAATCAAGAAAAAGCCCGGAGAGTAATAAGAGCACCACATGCTCGTAACCAAAGAACAATGATAAAAAGAAAGGAAGTAGTGAAGAAAAAAAAGTGTGTCACAATACCCTCACATTGTTGCCGTGAGGAAGCATGCAAATGGGACAACATCAACGGAGCCACTTGCTCACCATAAATTTATTTACTAATAAATATGTCCTTTCTTCATTAAGTGTCACCTAATTTTTGTACTTCATTTATGAAATGTTTTCTTATGTCTTTTTTTTTTATCCTTGTTTATTTTTAAGTGTTGCCCCATTAACCCTAAAATTATACTTTATTACTCTGTTATGTTATGTTCCGGTTGCATTTCTAGATTCCTGTTTAGTATTTCCGATCTGTTAATAATGTAAATATACAGTACTATTGTACTGTTGCTAAATCTACTGACTCCATAATGTAATGGTCTATGGCTACCATCATTAAAATCAAAGTTTTATTGTATTATTCTGTTATTTTTCTTGAACTTTTCAATTTTTTGTTAACTTCTCTTCTAGTATTACGTGTTCACCCCTTCACACCTATAAATAATTTTTTCCACATTATTTTACGTTTTACCCAAAACGTTTGATGTAATAGTGGCTTCACTAGTATGTGAAGTACAAATGTGGGAACAATTAGTTCCTACAATTAGTTTGTGGGAACTGAAGTAATGTTCCTTCATAAGTTAATGTTTGTAAAATTGTTGGAACAATCCTGTTCCCACAATTGTATATTACAGAACTCTTGTGTTCTTAGAACACTCATTCTTTTGAATAAAATTTTGAAATTGAATTTGAATAAAAGATGGCGATAGACTTGTGTCAGAAAGAATAAATGCGAAGATCAAAGGAGAAACACTAACTAGTGAAGTACGTCACCAGGCTGATCCTCAGGAGTTGGGGAGTTGCGAAAAAATGCCCAAGTTCAGAAACCTAGCAAGCAACATCTGAAATTAAGACTGAGCCAGCCACCAAGGAGCCAGAAGGATCATCCTCTCGGGATAGGACTCCCACCTGGCCAAGACCCTGAGCGGGAAGAATAGAGGTACAGGAAGCCTCACCTTGATCAGAATAGCCAATGGGTATCTACCATGAGGGCCTCACAATCCGGGAATGACACCTGCGTATAGAGGAAGATGCCGAGACCATTCTGACGTGAAGAGGTCCATGTGCGGCAGCCCAAATATCTCACAAAGCCACAGGACAGAGGCAGCATCAATGGATTACTCCATGGAGATAGAATGTAACCAGAACAGACCATTGGCGAGGATGTTGGACATTCCTGGACATGAACAGCATAGAGAACCAAAACCAGAAAACCTAGCAGAAGAGCTACACTTAGCATCCAACTCCAAAGAGGTAGGGACTGAAGCGAATTTCCCCATCCCCTAGGTGAGACAATGAGCCACAGGTGAACAGTCTGAATAGAGCTGGAGCATGGAGCCCTGAGGAATCTAAACCTTCCACAGTGCACGTCAAACAGCTGTAAACTCCCAAACCATACTGCGACGCCCGATGAATGAAGAAAGACCAACGACCCTGGATGACTTGCCGAGTGCTGGTCAAAGCTCCAGCTTTGACGGATCCTAGATTGGCTGGTCTAAGATCCTAGAACACCCCCAGAATGGCTGGTTAAAGCCCCAACCCGGAACCATGGAGGCATCCGTGAATACGTCAAGCAAAGGAGTAGGAAGGTACCATGGAATCAAATTCCCCAAAAGAACGAAAGATGAAGCCAGTGACACAACAGCCATCACAGGGGTAACCAGAGCCCACACGCAACAATCAGGGCTGCCCTGAAAAAAAAAAGAACAGCTGCTGAAACCAAACCTTGCCCAGAGGAAACATGAGGCAACAACAAGGAAACATGAAAAAACCAGCTTTCAATGTAATGAAATGCCAATTTCTTGGTGAGCCATGGTGGCTCCCTGAAGGTATTATCACCGATGTAGGTGCCAACTACTAGGTGCCATCAGTCGTGGTCTTTGGTCTACTGGGAATCCAGTGCCAAAACCTGATACCCTCAAAGGTGAAGGAAGCTGTGGCATTTATATATTAAGCTATTCATTTAAGCCACCACCAAAGGAAGCACCCAGAATTTCAGCAAAACAAAAACCACAGCTGGCTGCTTCCGATACCTGCAGACTCAAAATCAGGCAGAGAACTCCTTAAACTATATAAACAAACAACCAAAAAAAGTTAAAACCCAGCGCCCGGTCATTCTTCCTACCCTCCCCCTCGTTTAGGGAGAGGAGGGAGGGGGGGGGGAAGTTTGCCAGGTGCTCACAGGATGCTCCGCTGTCAGTTCTTCTCTGATGTGTAACTGTTGTCAGGTCTGCCCCTGTCACTCTGGCTCCCAGTGTTTTTCTTGGGTTTTCTTTTTGCCTTTGAGGCTGTTCCTTGTACTTATTACCTACTCATAATTATCTGTTAGATTAAGGACTTGCCCAAAACATTATGCATGCTAGTGGCTTTGCAAGAATGTAAAAACATCAATGTTATGTACTTTCACAAACCCAAAGTACCTTTTTGTATATATAAATAATTAAATAAATAAATAAATACTTTGGTGCAAGTGGGACCGGAGTTTAGTGCACTTGGAACTGCATATGTTCAAGGTTACAAATCCTCAAGGGCCGTGACAAGGATTCGAACCTACGTCCAGGAGCATCCCAAACGCTGCCTTAATCGACTGAGCTACGACATGGTTAAAGAGTTGAAACCGAAGTTCTACTGAACTTACTGGATCCTGCAGCCTCTCCAAAGCACAACCAGGGTTTTACACAACTCCCCCCATGCACTCGCGCTATGTCAATAGGCCGTTCTCCCTCTTCGCCCTAATTTAATTACACACATAAATCACAATAGCGTGATGCATCAAATGAACATTGTTCATTTGATGCATCACGCTATTGTGATTTCTGTGTGTTCAAGGTTACCTTCCCTGGATGCTCCCTAGTGTTTTTACTTGTGCTGCAGGATTTTCTTCCCTGGAGTGTTCAGGTGGTGTTCCTTTAGAGTGGACACTTCAGTGGACACTTCACTTATGGTGACCATCACCTTGGGGGGAGTCTAGGGTTTTTCGCTTCAGCCTGGGGGAGTGCACTGGTTACCTGCACAACCCGTCCTCTTAAAAATAACGTCACTTTTGGCTCATATGCACGCTATGGCCAAATTTGGACATAATTTGAAATGAAATTGACTCACAAAAGTGACGTACTGTCCCGTTTTCTGTTTGAGTCGTCCGGCTTACTCGGCAAGCTTAGAAGAGGATTCTTTCCATTAACGTTTTTCATACCGTTTTGAAACTTTATGAAAATTTCTTGCTCACCTAACCTATCAGAGGACCCTTACCTTGAGGTTACCTTGAGGTGCTTCCGGGGCTTAGTGTCCCCGCGGCCCGGTCGTCGACCAGGCCTCCTGGTTGTCGGACTGATCAACCAGGCTGTTGGACGCGGCTGCTCGCAGCCTGACGTACGAGTCACAGCCTGGTTGATCAGGTATCCTTTGGAGGTGCTTATTCAGTTCTCTCTTGAACACTGTGAGGGGTCGGCCAGTTATGCCCCTTATGTGTAGTGGAAGCGTGTTGAACAGTCTCGGACCTCTGATGTTGATAGAGTTCTCTCTCAGAGTACCAGTTGCACCTCTGTTTTTCAACGGGGGTATTCTGCACATCCTGCCATGTCTTCTGGTCTCATGTGATGTTATTTCTGTGTGCAGGTTTGGGACCAGCCCCTCTAATATTTTCCACGCGTAAATTTAACTTACTGTTGTTGAAAAAAAAAATCCCAAATATATTCATTTTTTTTTTCATTTTCAAATTACGTCCATATTCAGCCATACGGGCAAACGGCCAAAAGCGACGTTCTTTTTAAGAGGACAGGTTGGCCTGCATCAGGGTAGATTTTCCCAGCTGTTTCAGCCAAGCTGGGTTAATTTACATACACCTTTTAAGAGTGCCTGTGGCATGTTCTAGTGCCTGGGTGTCATGCTTGGATTGTTTTCTTCAGGCCCTAGTAATTCCCTGCAGGTTAGGGGGCCTCTGGGGTGCCCCCGACCTCACCTTCACTTCTTGCAAGAAGAGGGTTGTTTGTTGTCTGTGCCACATGGCATTGATCATTCCACCTGCCTCCGCTATGCTGCCTGTTGAGTTGGTGGCGCCTTTGGCTCAGAGTCATTTGGGGAATATTTTCACCATGTTCTTAGCCCTGCTGTTTGTGTTTGGGCTTTTCAGGCAGCATCTGCTTTTCATGTTGATTCTGCGAGTGGTCGAGGTTGTGTGCTCGTTTGGAAGCCCCCAGAGCTGCCTCGGTTAGTTTTTAGGTCTTGAGCTTGGGGAGTTGGTCTTCTTACACATGGCTCTGGCCACAGAGTGGTTGACGGTTGGAACAAGTTAAATGAGAAGATGGTGGAGGCCAAAACTGTCAGTAGTTTCAAAGCGTTATAAGACAAAGAGTACTGGGAAGACGGGACACCATGAGCATAGCTCTCATCCTGTAACTACACTTGGGTAATTATTTAGGCAATTACACCACCTCTTCCCTCCCCATCATGAGTGGTTCTCTCTCCTTTCGGTACCCTCCCCCCCCCCTTCCCTTCCTACTACCAGTGGGTGTTTCAGGATCAGGCAGGGTTCATCTTGGGTTGTGACTTAGGTGGCTTCGGGGGTTGTCCCTTCTGATTTGGATATGAAGGCAGTCGAGCCTTTTGGTCCTGCCGAGACTTCTGGGCCGCCTTCTCCGCTGGCCCCCCTTTCCCATTAACTACCCATCAACATTGGTGTTCCTCAGGGCAGCATATTTGGCCCTCTCCTCCTTCTCATCTACATTAATGACCTTCCAAATGCCTCCCAACACCTCAAACCAATTCTATTTGCTGACGACACAACCTTCATTTACTCCAGTCCTGACCCCCTTGCTCTAAATGCCACAGTAAATACTGAGCTAAATAAAGTCCATCTTTGGCTAACTGCCAACAAACTCACCCTTAACATTGACAAAACTTTCTATATTCTGTTTGGCAATAAATCCTCTAATCAAATAAATCTAAAAATAAACAATACCCAAATTTGTAACAAATTAGATGGCAAATTCCTTGGCATTCTCATTGACCAGAAGCTGAATTTCCAGGGACACATTCTAAATATATCAAAAAAAGTTTCAAAAACTGTTGGCATTCTTTCTAAGATCAGATATTATGTACCCCGCCCTGCCCTGGTGACTCTCTATTACTCCCTCATCTATCCATATCTCAACTATGGTATTTGTGCTTGGGGTTCTACTACCCAAAATCATTTACGTCCTCTAATTACTCAACACAAAGCTGCTATTAGGACAATATCCAACTCTGGCCCCAGACATCACTTGGTACCCCTACTCAAATCTCTGAATATGCTAGACATTAAGTCACTGCACATTCTCTCATGTGTATTATACATATATAAAACGCTGAACTGTAATGCCAATCCTGACCTCAAAAGCTTCATAGAAGGTTGTAACAGAACCCATGAGCACCACACCAGAAATAAATACAGTTTTGATATTCCAAGAGTACGACTTAATCAAACTAAATCAAGGGACCCAGAATGTGGAAATGACCTTCCCAACCATGTTAAAGACTGTACCTCTCTCAACCAGTTTAAGATAAAAACGAAGCTATACCTAATAAATTCCCTGTAACCTACCTTACCCCTCTATTGTCAACCAATGTCTGTTTTTTTAATGAGCGCTGTTTGTCGACAGAATTGTATTTGTGCTGTTTTTTCAGCTATGTTTTCATTCCATGTTTTCATTTTATTCTTTATGCTCAATTAGTATTAAGCTTTAGTCATTTAAGTTTTTCATGCCCGAAACGCTTTGCGTAATAGTGGCTTTAGACATTGTATGTACTAGCCCTATCTATAAATCCATCACTCTTTGTAAAATCTCTTGTATGTATGTACCTTACCTAAATAAACATTTGATTTGATTTGATTTGATTTGATTTCTTTGAGGGGGGGACGCCAGACCTGAACTCCATCGGTCTTTACCGGGTAGTGGGCATGGACAATGGCTCTGCCCTGGAGCCTTGCATTGTGCTTTCTGGGGCTTGGGGAAAGTTGGTGTTGGGGCCATAATCCCCTTTTACACTTTGTCTTTTCTAGCATTTCTGTGGAGGGTCTTTCTTTCCAGGGGGAGCCTGACAGCTGAGTGGACAGCGGCTTCAGACTCATAGTCCTAAGGTTCCGGGTTCGATCCCCGGTGGAGGCGGAAACAAATGGGCAAAGTTTCTTTCACCCTGATGCTCCTGTTCACCTAGTAGTAAATAGGTACCTGGTAGTTAGACAGCTGCTACGGGTTGCTTCCTGGGGTGTGTAACAAAAAGGAGGCCTGGTCAAGGACCGGGTCGCGGGGACACTAAGCCCCGAAATCATCTCAAGATAACAGGGGGGTTGGAGTGTTTTTTTACCCATTCCTCCTTGTGTATGATAATGTATGTGAGGCCCCTTCCCCTGGGTGGTGGCTCACCTCATCTCCAGGTGCCTATGTGTATGCCGAGGAGTGTTCTTCTGGAGGTTTCCTTCCTCGTGGGTTCCCCCCCTTGGAAGACCCTTGAGAGACCCTTGGGACCCCCCTTGGGAGACCCTTGGGGCATTTTCTCATTCCTTTGATGTGGCCAAGTTACTCTGCCAGTGGTCCCACGATCCCATTGTTGATGTGACGATGTGCACTGAATTTTGTAACTAGCCCATCAAGATTGTAACTTGCTTAACTAAATGAATGGTGGAGTTTAGCGCATTATGTGCCTCTATAACCCTTTTCACTATTGCCCACAAGATGGGTATGGGAGGCATAATAAATGAACTAAACTAACAGCGGTCCCGGCCTCTTGAGTTTGGGCAGCGGCACCAATTACTAGGAATCACTGCTGGCACCTTGTAGTTGGCACCTACATTGGAGATGTAGGTGCCTTCAGGAAGCCACTAGGGACTCCTCCCAGAAAATACAATAAAAGGTGAAAAATAAGAAATAGAAGGAAGTTTTGGACAGGTCCTCCAGCTACAAATAATCATGCTATGGCCAGTATAGATGGCAGCACAGTGAATGCTCTTCTGGTGACATCTTAGTTGGCTATTTGCTTAAATATCAAAAGCTTTAAAACATCACAAAGGTTATAGGTAATTGCACATTTTTATGTTGAATTTTTCTTATTGTACACCTTTACTTCTTTCAAAAAGTATAAGGATTTTAAGATAAAACGTATATGTTACCTGGCAAGATTATTATAAACAGCGGCAGGAGTTTAATATAACCAGCAAATATTGTGCCACCCTTTGCGTGCGAGAGGCTGCGAGCTGCCATAACGCGTTGTACCATCATCTGCAGGAACAAGTTACCACAACACTATAATTTACCACTTTCTTTTTCAAAGCTATAGAATTTATATCATTACATGTGGATAAGACTTGCAACATACAGTACAGTTATCAATTAATTCACTGCTGTTTACTACAAATGACTATAGCACTATACCTGGTCAGCGCACCAGTACCATATGGAGAAAGGCATCTGGCCCACTATACCTGGTCAGCGCACCAGTACCATATGGAGACAGGCAGCTGGCCCACTATACCTGGTCAGCGCACCAGTACCATATGGAGACAGGCAGCTGGCCCACTATACCTGGTCAGCGCACCAATACCATATGGAGACAGGCATCTGGCCCACTATACCTGGTCAGCGCACCAGTACCATATGGAGACAGGCATCTGGCCCACTATACCTGGTCAGCGCACCAGTACCATATGGAGACAGGCATCTGGCCCACTATACCTGGTCAGCGCACCAGTACCATATGGAGACAGGCATCTGGCCCACTATACCTGGTCAGCGCACCAGTACCATATGGAGACAGGCATCTGGCCCACTATACCTGGTCAGCGCACCAGTACCATATGGAGACAGGCATGTGGCCCACTATACCTGGTCAGCGCACCAGTACCATATGGAGACAGGCATCTGGCCCACTATACCTGGTCAGCGCACCAATACCATATGGAGACAGGCATCTGGCCCACTATACCTGGTCAGCGCACCAATACCATATGGAGACAGGCATCTGGCCCAGTAAGAACGCAGGCCAAGGCATATCACTGACAGTGGGGTCAGCATCTCTCAACATTCTCCAGGAGTCAATGCGAGGAAGTCCACACGTCGAGTTATCTATCAGTTTCTCTGGGATAGCCTCAAGATACTTTGTCTGCAGCTCTGTATAGCCACCCACTGCTTGAAAAGCTGAAAAGTTAAAAAATAATTAATGGCGATAGCAATACGTTACACTGTGACAACAAAAAATCTATTTTAACTCACTCACAAACTACTCCTGATCAATAGGAATTTGATAAGAATAATGCCATATATGAAGGCATTGTTCTTATAAACAGATGTAAAGGTAGATGTAAGATGTTTATAAAACCAATACTTGGATAGTGACTTCAATGATACTCATATTAGTATGTAGATATAATAATAAAGCATTTATGGGACATAGGTTCAAGCTGCAGGCAGGACAGAAACGGTTGGTCGTGTGTCATTTCACTTAATACCTGTACATGTATTCACCTAGTGGTAAATAGGTACTAGGTAGTTAGGCAAACCCTGTGAGTTGCATCCTGGGGAAGACCAGTAGCTGACTTGGAAGGATCTAAGTACTTAATTCATTGTACTGTATATATATACTGTATATTCATTGTGTCAGGGGGACAGGAAGCCAGAGTGTATTCATACATGTTAGGCTTTTATCAAGGTCCCTCCCCCCTTTGCAGAAAGTTGAATTACTGACCCCACCCAGGATGCATCCCCACAACAAGCTGACTAACTCCTGAGTATCTACTTACTGATAGGTGAACAGACGCATTAGGAGAAAGAAAATGTGCAAAACCATTTATGTCCTGCCCCGGGATTAAAGACCTAAGTCAACAAGCTCAAGTACTGCACAGGCTGTACTTGTTAATTATGCATATATGTAATGGGAATTATAAGTATACTGTACTTTTAAAACTCGGTAATGTAAATTGAATTGGTAGGTTTGGTATTTCAACCTTAGTCTCAATAGCTTTTAACCACTGCACTACACTGCATCATAACAAGAAACCCTCCAGTCGTGCATCAGAAAAAATGATTTCCAAACATTTAGTTGCTTATACTCTATTGCGTTCTCTCATCATGGGGAAAAAAACCAGCGTTGATTGTAATGAAATACCATTTTCTGGGTGAGTCCCGGAGGCTCCCTGGAGCTATCCAGGCTGATTTGGATATGTATAACTTTCTGGCATCAGTCAATGTGCATGGAGTTCTTGCCTACCAGGGACCACAAGCCAGAACTTGGCCCCCACAGAGAGGCACGAGAAGCAATGGCCTATAGAAACCCCCGTATGGTTCGGAGCATTCTGTGTTTGCCATCGACCAGGTCTAGCAACCAGAAAGGTAGGTGCCCCAAAATAAACCCCTATTCTGGTGAATAATTGCTACCGAAAGCAGAATGAATGGATAGAACTCTCCAACGAAAATTAGCAAACGAGTATGACGTCATCATGCAGCCGCGCTGCTGTCTGCACAACCCTTCCTCTCCCAGGGAGGGGAAAGGGGAAGCCCCAGACCCTCGTGCCAGCAATCCACCCACCAGGTCCCGTGCTCAACGCCTCCACATCCTCCTCAAGCCAGGTTGAAGACAGCTCGAGAAGGGAAAAGAAACACAAGACCGAAGCCAAATGCTCACGGGCGCGCAAATCCTCAGCAACCAAGGATACCAAAAGGGTAGGAACCTGCACGTGCAGCTGTACAAGGCCAACATCCTGAGAAAGCACAGGGGCGAACAAGCACGGATTAAAGTGCTCAACTCGACCCCAGGTAAACCTGCAGAACGGTAAAAGTTTCTCGCCACTCGAGCGTGCGGGTCCAACAGAACCCATGCCACGCCCCCAACAAAAAGAACACGCAGTATGCCAGCCAGGAAGACTCCAGACCCTTCAAATGCCAAGAACTAATGGTTGGATTGCCCGAGCGAGGGTTCAGGGCTCCCCATTCCCCCTCCCGGGAAGGGGGGGTTGTACAGACAGTGGCGCAGCAACGTGATGACGTATTCTCATTTGCTAATTTTAGCTGGAGAGTTCTATCCACTCGTTCGGCTGTCGGTAGCAATATTTTCACCAGAATGGGTGTTTGTTTTGGGGTGCCTACCTTTCTGATTGCCAGACTCGGTCAATGGCAGACATAGAATGCTCCCAACCACAAGGGGGTTTCTATAGGCCATTGCTCCTCGTGCCTCTCTAAGGGGGCCAGGTTCTGGCTCGTGGTCCCCGGTAGGCAAGAACTCCATGCACTTTGATGCCAGAAAGTTTATACAGTGGGGCCTCCACTTACGATGGTAATCCGTTCCCAGATACGTGTCGTAAGTCAAAATATCGTAAGTCAAAACGAATTTTCCCATAAGAAATAATGGGAATTGAATTAATCCGTTCCAGACTCTCAAAAAACTCACTTCAAAGTAAATTTTATACCTAATTCACCCAAATCTTTAGTACTAAAGTATGTTCAAGTTATTGCTTACACTTATTGATAACTCTTGTTGGAGTATGGAAGACTGAGGAGGAGGAGGAGAGGTGTTAGTGTTTGGAAAGGGAGTCCCCTTCCAATATAACATCAGGCAGTGATTGTTTTTCTTTTTTAAAAAATTTCCAATTTTTTATTTTTTATTTTATTTATTTTTATAGAAAATGGAGCAGCCTACCTGACATCCACTGAATGAACTTTTTAGACATTTTTCTTTTTTTCAAGTTTTTCTTTTTTTTCATCTTTTTTTTTATAGAAAATGGAGCAGCCTACCTGACATCCACTGAACGAACCTTTTACACTTTTTCTTTTTTTCAAAATTTTTCAATTTTTGTTATTGTTTCATTTTATTTTTATATTTTTCATAGAAAATGTAGCAGCCTACCTGACATTCACTGAACAAACCTTTTAGACATTTTTTTCTTTTTTCAAATTTTTTCAATATTTGTCTGTAGTGATGCATCACAGTGTCATTAAAAAGGTTAAGGCAACGGACTACTGCAGCTTGATTTGGGTGAGTCGTTTCAGCAAAAGATTGCAGTTCTTCCCATGCTGCTCACATTTTCATAATAAATGAGGAAGGGACATCCTTTACATCAACAACCCTCATACCATTTTCATGTTAACAAATGATCTCTTGTTTTTCCTCTGTGGTCATCCTCACATGTGTTTTCTTAGGTGGTTGAATCTTACCACTGACTTTCTTGGGACTCATGGCATGATATAATAATTACTTTTATGTTCAAAAAACAAAAAATCATCACAATAATGGAATTTCTTAAAAGCGTGATCATCACTAAGCAGGCGGCTCTGGTAAACTGAGGCAGGTCTGCCCGCGTGACCAAGAACCATGCGGTTGGTCGACCCGAACGCGTATCGACGAATATCATTACTCGACGACACTATTCTCCCACCCTACCCATCAACACTGGTGTTCCTCAGGGCAGCATACTTGGCCCTCTCCTCTTTCTCATCTACATTAATGACCTTCCAAATGCCTCCCAACACCTCAAACCAATTCTATTTGCTGACGACACAACCTTCATTTACTCCAGTCCTGACCCCCTTGCTCTAAATGCCACAGTAAATACTGAGCTAAATAAAGTCCATCTTTGGCTAACTGCCAACAAACTCACCCTTAACATTGACAAAACTTTCTATATTCTGTTTGGCAATAAATCCTCTAATCAAATAAATCTAAAAATAAACAATACCCAAATTTGTAACAAATTAGATGGCAAATTCCTTGACATTCTCATTGACCACAAGGTAAATTTCCAGGGACATATTCTAAATATATCAAAAAAAGTTTCAAAAACTGTTGGCATTCTTTCTAAGATCAGATATTATGTACCCCGCCCTGCCCTGGTGACTCTCTATTACTCCCTCATCTATCCATATCTCAACTATGGTATTTGTGCTTGGGGTTCTACTACCCAAAATCATTTACGTCCTCTAATTACTCAACACAAAGCTGCTATTAGGACAATATCCAACTCTGGCCCCAGACATCACTCGGTACCCCTACTCAAATCTCTGAATATGTTAGACATTAAGTCACTGCACATTCTCTCATGTGTATTATACATATATAAAACGCTAAACTCTAATGCCAATCCTGACCTCAAAAGCTTCATAGAAGGTTGTAACAGAACCCATGAGCACCACACCAGAAATAAATACAGTTTTGATATTCCTAGAGTACGACTTAATCAAACTAGAAATGCTCTATAAATCAAGGGACCCAGACTGTGGAATGATCTTCCCAACCATGTTAAAGACTGTACCTCTCTCAACCAGTTTAAGATAAAAACGAAGCTATACCTAATAAATTCCCTGTAACCTACCTTACCCCTCTATTGTCAACCAATGTCTGTTTTTTTGGCAAAACAGAGAGCTGTTTGTCGACAGAATTGTATTTGTGCTGCTTTTTCAGCTATGTTTTCATTCCATGTTTTCATTTTATTCTTTATGCTCAATTAGTATTAAGCTTTAGTCATTTAAGTTTTTCATGCCCGAAACGCTTTGCGTAATAGTGGCTTTAGGCATTGTATGTACTAGCCCTATCTATAAATTCAACACTCTTTGTAAAATCTCTTGTATGTATGTACCTTACCTAAATAAACATTTGATTTTATTTGATTTTTATTGTAAGTCGAGTCGTATTTTCTGATAAAATTTATATCTTAACTCAAAATTATCGTAAGTCGGGGCAATCGTAAGTTCTAGGTGTCACTGTAGTTATATATCAGACTGGATAGTTCCGAGGAGCCTCTGGGTCTCACCCAGAAAATGGCATTTCATTACATTCAACACTGGTTTTTTCTCTATACTGTATTGTTTATGCATTCAGCACTATGAAAATAAAATTAAGTCTGAAAAAATATTATGGATGGGAAAATAATCGACTACTCACCTTTAATCATTAAATACAAAGATCCGCCGATCATGATGAAGAACTGCAGGGTATCTGTGTAGATCACTGCAGCCAGGCCCCCTAACATGGTGCACAGAGCTGTCATCAATAGGAGGCCAATGATGGACAAGTATAAATTGTTGACTTTTAAGGCTTGCTGGATAAAAATAGCCCCAGAGTACAAGTTCACCTGTGGATACGGAAAAGTTATATACAATATTTTCAAGGCAGTTTACGTGCTATGATGTACAATGATTATAATATTAATAAAAAAGCATTCAATATGAAGTTTCTTTTCATTAATTGACACTAACCTAGCTAAAAAATAAAAAATTGTGTACCACAATATCATAGATAACAGCATTTCATTTGCTTGGACCATTTGAGCCTCAAACTGTGGATCACAAAAAGCAGGAGCCCACAGTCCAACACGTGTCATACCAACTACAAGTAATTATCTAAGTGTAATTACCTAAGTGTAGTTACAGGATGAGAGCTACGCTCGTGGTGTCCCATCTTCCCAGCACTCTTTGTCATACTGTATAACGCTTTGAAATTACTGACGGTTTTGGCCTCCACCACCTTCTCACCTAATTTGTTCCAACCGTTACCACTCTGTTTACAAAAGTGAATTTTCTTATATTTCTCCGACAGCTTTGTTTCGTTAGTTTAAATCTATGACCTCTTGTTCTTGAAGTTCCGGGTCTCAGGAATTCTTCCCTATCAATTTTATCGATTCCTGTTACTATTTTGAACGTAATGATCATATCGCCTCTTTTTCTTCTATTTTATAGTTTTTGCATAATTTAATGCCTCTAACCTCTCCTTGTAGCTCTTGTCCTTCAGTTCTGGGAGCCACTTAGTGGCATGTCTTTGCACCTTTTCCAGTTTGTTGATGTGCTTCTTAAGATATGGGCACCATACAACCGCCGCATATTCCAGGTTTGGTCTTACAGAAGTCATGGACATTTCTTTAGTATTTCACCATCCATGTACTTAAAAGCAATTCTGAAGTTAGAAAGTGTAGCATAGGCTCCTCGCACAATGTTCTTAATGTGGTCATCAGGTGACAGTTTTCTATCAAGAACCACCCCCTAGATCCCATTCTTTGTCAGAATTCTTTAAAGATTTCTCACATAATTTATAGGTTGTGTGGGGTCTATGTTCTCTAATTCCACATTCCATAACATGGCATTTATTCACATTAAATTCCATTTAATGTGTCTACCAACAAGTGTCCTACCAACAGGTGTCAGACCAACATGTGTTGATTGCTCATGAAGCTTGTGCAGATAACCAACCAATATTTAGATGATCAATGACGTAGTGGTCATGGTAATGAAGCTGTTTGGTGGCGAGACTTCAGGTAGCCTGGGTTCAAATCCTCTAAGGGGTCATAGAGTTAAACTGATATCTGTGTTTGGGGATCAATCAAGCTTTGCTCTGATTGGTTTATATTCAGGGCCAGATTACCCAATAGGCCAAATAGGCCAAGTAGGCCATAGCCTAGGGCCCACCAGCACCAGGTGGGAGCCTACCGGTACCAGGAGGGCCTCACCAGCACCTTTTTATTTGTACCCTAAAAATGGACAAATATCAAATAACATTTAAAATAATAAATTACTTGGTAACACTACTCGATCACTGACACACATACACACACAAATAGGAATATGGCCTCAATGTATTCCTCTGCAAAACTATGGGTAATATAATATGATAATTAACTACACTTCATTTTAAATCAGCTGTCAACATGTATGCGTTTAGTCTTTGAATTGCCACATTGAACATGTAGCTGCTTTGGCCTAGGGCCTATAAACAGTTTGTTTGTTTATATATCCTAATCAGATTATATATTCAGCCCTGTTTATATTAGTTTAAATTTTGCTACAGGCTAGACATTACAACAACACAGGAAGTTATGGATTTGCATATTGTGATCTATGAATACTCAGAAACTCAGACCCTTATAACAGGGGCCTTTAATTAATCAAGAAACAATAGATTAGGCAAATCTAACATTACAAACAGAAGAACAATTTCATTCCATTCACCTGGGCTCTAGAAGGCTCGAACCATGGACCCCAAGTGTGTGAGGCCGAAGCTCTATCTATTGGTGAATGAAATGTTTATTTCCACGGTAGTGTGGATGACAATTTTGAAGAATAACTTCTCGACCTAGTATAGGATTTCTCACGCAGTATGTGGCAGAGCCCACTCAAGGTAACAGTACTTGATCTTGTGCTAGCATCAGAAGAAGGATCAAAAGAGAAGCATCTTGTGATTGAACATGTACAGGCAGGGGCAAAAGCTCGCCCCTTCTTGCGTGACACAATATTCGAAGATAGATTGTAATTATAGAAACCCACGTAAATAGTCTTTGGTGTGGTTTCCTAAACTACCCAAGAATGAGAGAGGAATTGCAAAGCACCGCCTTTCGGGAGTTAACAGGTGATCAAGGCAAGAAAGCATCATGGGAAAATTTCTAAAAGTTCACCAATGAATGGTTAAAGAAATATGTGCCAAGGACACAGAAAAGAAAAACATATGGATGACACAGGCAGTTAAAAGAAAAACCAGCGTTGAATGAAATGAAACGCCATTTTCTGGGTGAGACCCGGAGGCTCCCCGGAGCTTTACCAGGCTGATATGCTAATGTCAGACTTTGGCATCAGTCATGTGTATGGAGTTCTAGGGCCTACAGGGGACCACGGCCAGAACCTGGCCCCCTCAGAGAGGCAAGGGGAGCAATGGCCTATAGAAACCCCCGTGTAGTAGGAAGCATTCTATGTCTGCCATCAACCGGGTCAAGCATCCAGAAAGGTAAGCATTCCAAAACAAACTCCTATTCTGGTGAAAATTGCTACCTAAAGCCGAACTAGTCTCGAAAAGTCCCGGGAACGACACGAGAACAACGAGCAGCAAGGCCCCCGCACGAACACCAAAAATCCATGCCCGAAAGACCGCAAGGCCACGTCGCCCAGACGGCAGCGAGAGCAGCGAAGCCACGAACGCCACGGGCATGAGGGAAGAACACAGGCAGCTTAGCCGCAAGAACACGGCTGACCACCCGGGACACAATCACCCGCGAACCGGGAAGAACAGAATCGGATCAATGCAAAATGCGCTCCGGACCCAAACGCCGTGGCATGCAAACAACAGCGGAGGGCCGCCACTGAACACAAAACACGTCACACCCCCGGCCCGACCAACGAAGCACCAACAAACCCTGGACCCCTCCAGAACGCAGCAGCCCCACCCCGCGCCAGAAAAGATGGAGACTGCTGCCACCGTACAACCAATACGCTAAAACCGAAGGAGCAAGAAAACTCAGCGACTCGACCCCCAGAGGCAAAGGCCAAAAGGAAAGAGCCGACGAAAAAACACACCAGAACCGAAGGGGCACTACCAACCGAGGAGAAGACAGAGCACGCTGACCAGAGATCAGGATGGTGCAAGCGGCGCACGAACAGGCCGGAGGTGAAACGACGCATGAGACAGCTTATTAACGGTGCAGAAGCAACACCAAGACCGAAAGCAAGCTGAAGCGGCTCTGCCCGCGCCGCACGAAAAGAGGCGACAGTATGTGGCAAGATGACGGCCCCCAACCCCCACCAGAAAACCAAGCTGAGAGTAAACCAAGCTAACAAGAGTAACCACCTAAGAAGGGACAGGAAAAGGAAGGACCGCCAAAATACCCCATACTGCCGCCAAGAGAAGCACGCAGGTGGGACACCTACCATGAAGCCACCCGACCACCAACCGGAGGCGAGACCGAGAGGCAGAACATAAGCAGCCCCGACAAGGCCCCTCCGAGCCCAGGAAAAAGGCGGAGCCACGGGAAGATCTCGGGCGCGACCACTGAAACCCAGGCGGCACAAGGAGATGGAACGTCTGCCGAACAGAAAAACTCCCCAAAGCATGCAAGCCCGCCAGGAGTTCAGAAATGACGGGTCCGACGCGAGACATCGCAAGACCCCCAAAAAAAAAAAAAACCGGCAGGGCATGCTAGGAAACCAAAGAAGGCGGAAGGGTCGCCGCCAGAACAGTACCCGAACCAAGGGGTACAAACAACTGCAATAGACCGAGACAAAGAAGCACATCACAGGACACAGGCTGAAAAACGCTCAAGAACACACGCAGAACACCCCTGCTGCAGAGGAGGCAGGAAGAAAGAGCAGAAGCACAAAAACCCCAGGAAAACAACCAGGGGTGGACAATCAGGCAGGGAGAGAAAACCCCCACGCAATCCCCAGGCACAAAACAGCAGCAAAGTGCCACACCACAACCGGACATAGGAACAAGGACACGCCACCGTGAAACACGGTACCAATGCACACGTGCAGCAGCAGCAACAGGCACCACCGCAACATGCAACATGTAAATAGCAACTCCCTTCTGCAAAGGCAGAGAAACGGAGCAGGCAGACCCCAGACAGGGCCAACGGAGACACGACAAAACCCAGCAGGCCCAGAAACCAGCACAAGGCGACCGATGGTGGAGAAACCTCGCTCGATACCCGCTGGATGGGGTACTGGGAGCTCTTTCACACCCCAAGCCCGGCCCAAGGCCAGGCTAGACCGGCCAGAGGGTGGCCCACCAGGCAGCTGCTAGGAGCAGCCCGCCGGCCCACATACCCCCACAACCAGGATGGGCCGGAACTGCTATACGAAAACAGGCTAGTGCGCCCTGGAAGTCCACGGACAAACCAGCAAGAAGGCTTATGCTCGCAAGTAGGTCGTGTAACAACCACAGACCTCTGATGGTAATACAGTGTTCCCCAATTGTGCCTATAGCACCACTGCACTCCACTGGTACTATCCCGCAAGTTCTACTAGATAGGCGGGACCCAAGAGCCAGAGCTCAAACCCTGCAAGCACAGCCCTGCAAGCACAGACTTACCAGGTGAGTACAGAACCAACCCTACAACCCCCACACCTCACAACATAAAAAAAGGTGGGTCCCCTGAATGACTCTAGCATGGGTTGGACATGCACATGAAAGGGACAGGAAGGGTTGAAAAAGGGACAGTCACTGGTGTGCGAACGGTCTCAGTCGTACAAAAATATACCTAAATAAAGACAGGTATATAAACAACACCGCATCCAGCGCCCGGCCAAAAGACGCCAGACCGCAGAAACTCACCTGGCGAACGGTGGCACGAACTTGACACGACTCAACCGTCCC